GTCACCGCGTGGCAAAGAGGCTTCAGTGGCATGGTACCTCAGGTTTCCATCCTCGTGCCGAGTATCCCGCGTCCCATCAAAATCGATACCATGCTTGTTCTTTTTCTCGGACTTTTTGGCACCGAAGATGGACGGGAAGGGATGGCTGAAGGAGCGACTGTGGTTGAGCTTTGTGGTACCCGAGTCTGGGGAATCGGGGAGGGGTTTTCGACGGAGAGTAGGTATCTCGAATGTCTCGGCAGTTGCGGTGACTGGAGGAGGGGGCAGCGGTCGATTGAGGTCGGCGGTCTTGGGTTGATCATGGCTCGAACTTCGCGTAAGCTGGACGTTGCGAGGTCGATGCCGGGTAGGGTGGTGATCGTGGGATGCAGATGATGGCAGGGACGCCATTGTCGTCATGTAGAATTGCAACAGAGCCTCAGATCTCGGTGATGGGGCGAGGCGAGCAAGGTATTCATAAGAGTGGGTTAGCGAATCCGGTCCACCGACGCCGCAGTCGATGTCTCAGAAGCTGCGGGCTTATGCGGCAGGAAGCTGTTTGCGTCTTTGGTGTCCAGTATAGTGTGCCTTGGTCACGGTGTTCATTTGCTTAGAAAGCAAGTGCAAAGGTGGGTTTGCCAGGGCAATCCAGCAATCAATCAATCAATCTCCTGGGATGGTGTCGCAGCACTGATGGTCGAAGTGAAGGAGGAGCAGCCCCAGCATATTGTCCCGTCACCGACGCCAACAATACTGCTGGGAGCAGGGCAGCCGCGATCAGCGCCGTCCAAGAGGGACTCTGGTCGACAAGAAACGAGACGAGAGCAGACCTCGTCGCCACCAGACCGAAGTCGAAGTGGGTGCGAGATTCCAGAGGGAAAAGTGGTTCTGGTGGTGGCATTGACCGGTCAAGGTCTGTTTTGCGAGGGGAATTTGCCAAGGCCACCCAGAAACAGATGCAGATGCAGGGAGTCAACCGCAAGAATAAGGGACCCTGCAAAGCCTGGGACCTGCTTTGGGACCTGACAGGGGGCGCTTGGGGCTTTGCGGCCTGGAGATGCTGGGGCCTCGGGTCATCGGCGGGCGAGAGTCAGGGGCTAAATTGCTTGTTTAGGGGCCTGCATACGGTGCGCTAGAGCCGCTGCCCAGTGAGAAGACAGCCTGGGGAGCTCGGTGGGGGCACGTTTACATCACATCCAGACACCAATACCGTGCAGGAGGCAGTTACGGAGCCTTGTAAGCGAACCTTTATACTGTAGCTAGCCAAGGGGTTTGCCTGCCAGCATTCTATTTTCGGCCTTGTCTTTCCGTCCCCGGTACCTACAAGCACAAGTATTCCCACTAGACAAGTTTCCAGAAGTATGTATTGGTTCTCTTTGCAGGTTGCCGGCTATGTCATATAATATTGTCTCAAATCCATCGACGTCTACCCGGTGTCTAACTTCTTTCTTCTGTTTTGCCAACATACCGATGCCCATTTCCAAGCAATTGTCCCCCGCTAAACCTTCAAAAGCAACCGAGTTGTGTAAACCCAAGGCCCATTAGCCGTCAAGCCCATATTCTCGAGCTAGCTTGTCGGCTGCAGTGAGCCCAGTGAGATACGCCGTCGTCTGAGTGTGATTGCTGTCAGGACTTGTTAGCATGTCTCATATCGGACATCGGTAGCGTGACTTACTTGGAGACGATGGGGATGATGCTCATGTCGGCCACTCTGAGATTCTCCACACCAAACACCTTGAAGTTCTTGTCCACCACGGCGCTGCCTTCGTCCTTGCCCATCCTAGCAGTCCCCATCATGTGCCACGTCGAAGCGCTGTTCGCTCTCCAGAAAGCCAGGATATCATCCTCCGACTCACTCTTTGGGCCATCTATAGCCAGGGTATCATTTTGGAATTCCGGGCTCTTCATGACCTTAAGGACGTCCCGTGTGGCCTCCACAGCCACTCGTTTGTCGAAATGATGGGAAAAGAAGTTGGGGTCGAAGATAAGGGGCTGCTTGGGATCAGATGACTGAAGTCTGACAGACCCCGTCGACTTCTGATTGAGGGCGAATACAAATACGTTGGTTCCCGCTTGTGCGTTCTCTGGGTCGAGGAAGTTAGGAAGCCATGGCCCGTTGAGGATAATCTCATAGTGAGGAACTGTCGGCTTTCGTAGATGATCTTGGTCTTCTTTTGGTAGAGCCTGGAACTCTGGAGTGTCATACAGTGATTCCAGCTTCAGGTATCCGATACCCAAAGTGCAGGCATATTCTGACAATGGCCCGCTACCGTCTTTCTCCCACGCAGCTCGGGCTGCCGCTTGAAGCTCCTTGCTCTTGTAGAATCGAGTTCTCTCAGTCGTGTGGTGGGCTCGGAGAGCCGGGATCGTGACATGGTGGTGATCCTTGAGGTGCCTTCCGACGTTTTCATTGGCTTGGACAATCGGAATGTTGAAGCTGCTAAGCTCATCGACAGGGCCTATACCAGAATGCATTAAGATCCTTGGAGTGTCAAGAGCGCCACCCGACAAGATGACTTCTTTGTCGGCTTGGATTAACCGCCCTTCAATAGTTTTAATACCGGTAGCCTTCGTACCATCAAAAGTCACTTGAGCCACTTCCGTATCGACCAAGATGTGTAAGTTACTGGGCGCCCCCACTAACGCATCTGCGGATGTCGATCGGACTCCTTTGTATGCAGTCGAAATGCACGCGGCAAGGCCAATCGGGTCTCCGGAATTGTGATCTGGATTAGGTTTTGTGCCGTTGGCGTACCAAATATCCATCAACGTCTTGGAAGAAGGCTCCCAGACCTTGGGGAAGCCAACCTTGATGGGCCCATCGTATCCATGGTCCTTTGGACTAGGGTCAAGGTATCGCTTGGCATCATCTGGTACATCTGGGGCTGTTGCGTGATAAGACTCGAGCCGTTTGTATCTCTTCTGAACGTTGTTCCAGCTCCATTCTTCGTCGTCCACAAGGCGTGCCACCTCGTCATAATCGTCCCTCGGGCCAAGGGTCCACACGGAGAAGTTGATGGCGGTGCTTCCCCCAAGCCCTTTGCCACGATCGTAGTCAACAATGTTCCCATCGAACCCTTTGACGGGTGCGGTTTTGTAGCCCCAGTTCATAGAAGGGACCATTCGGTGAAGCCACCTGTCTGCATCGGCACGAACATCCTTGGAGTCGTTTTTGCCTCCAGCCTCGACGAGAAGGACCGAAGGACGTTGTTTGCTGTTTGCCAGGCGAGCTGCAAGGATTGCTCCTGCAGCGCCGGCACCAACGACAATAAAGTCGAATTTCTCTGGCATCAAAGAGCCCATCTTGGCTGTGGAGACGTGTGCGATTATCTGGGGATAAGTGGAGGTCAGTGTAAAAGGTGAAGGTATACTTTGCCGGTCTGCGTTTGTTCAAGAAGAACACAGCTGCACCCCCCCGGCTCCCATATACAACATTATATAGACAGTCCTAGGAAGGCGAACCAAATCTCAAGAAATTAATTCCATTAGAGCTGACGGGACTTTTTCCTAGGCAAAGGGATGCCTTACAACCGTCCTAGAGCAAGATCCGTTGGGAAAAGAGGTCCGAGTTTCGCCATGGCCATGGTTGATTCTGCACCCATAGTAGGCTGAGCAGGGGGCAATCTTGGCTACGTCTGACATATCATCAGTTTGAGAGGCCAAGAGCATGAAAGGATCGCCTCTTCTTGTCATTTCGTCTTCTCCGGCGGCGCTCTGGCAGCAAACTCGTCTCTTTTCCACACCGACTACCGTGCTCAGCCTTCCTTGGAAATGGAGACGGGAGGCGGGATTCGCACGGGCTATACTCCACATGCTATCACTAGAGGGTAGCGGTCGGTGTGATCTTCACGTTGATTTGGTATGGCTCAGGAATGGAACATGAAGCTGAGTCATGTTGAAGCAAAGAGGCCGGGATTGCGAACAAGATGTTGCTGGCTGCTGCTGTTTAGGATGCTGACCCAGAACCTTGTACAAAGGGCCGAGGAAAAGCGGAAACGTGGAGGAGAGAGCAACCCTTGTTGACGAGGTGATTTCTCTATCCAACAGACTTCTCGAGAGAGGCAAAAGCCCATGCGTGAGGTGTTGGACGCTATTCTTGCACGGCAGTAGTAGTTGGAATAGAGCGCCGAGATGCCGTGGTCAGTATTCTCGTTGCGTAGCGCTGAAATGCAGCATCATCCAGAGTCGTCAGTTATGGTCAGACTGTCAACCATCGCTTCATTTTTCATGGTTGCTGATTGGCGGTGGATATATCTAGTCGCCAGTAATTGTAGGACCCATTGCTGAGGATCCCCTTGCTGTTCTCCCAATGACGAATATTTGGCGACTGACTGCCTACGTAGGCAGCACCTAGCCTGGATGTATCGAGCAATGAACGTTGCGCCGCACTGTGCCCCTGTTGTTGTAGGATTCAAGTGCTTGACGGTGTGCCATTCCGTTTACACTGGGAAATTACCTAACTAGTCGACAATGGGCAATACCTTCAGTCTGGTTTGGGATTATAGTATATGACAGAAGTCTTGGGCGACTGGCAGGGCTTGTTCATAGGACAAATCAGGCTGTTTTTGTGCTGACAGATATTAGGTAATGGTATGTCGTGTGAATACTGACTGGCGCCATGATGGGATTGGATTGAAGTCATCACCATAATCACCAGTGCTGCCATCAGGTGCCAGTAGTGGTGGTGGTAGTACTTCTAATGGTGGTGGTGGTTGTTGCTCAGAACCTTACTCGTCGGAATCTTGGAATCATCGAGTCGGTGCGAGCCCAAAGAAGCCTAGTAGCCCTCCTGGTTCTCCTGCCCTCACTAGCCCCCAGGGCGCGCCGCGGAATCAACCAACGCGCGGAAAGGCACGACGAAATTCCGATGCAATTTTCCATGACGGCAACTCCGTACTCGTCTCCCTCACACACATGAGCCTTTTGTCAATGTGTAGCATCCTGCTCGTCTCCTACCTCGTATCAGCACGCCATCTTTGCCCGCATCCTCGCCGCCTTTAACGGCATGCGCTGATTCTTACATGGAGTTTGTACCTCGGGGATGGCGATCATGTTATTTGCCAAACATCAAATCCTGCACCCACCTCTTCAGCCGTCAAGTCAAGACTCCCCGAACTCTCTCCTCTACTCGCCGTCTTCTATCCAGTGCGGCAGCCGAGCTTGAACAACCTCATCCGGAATCCGTACCTCGCCCTGTGCTGCAGGCAAATGTTCCTCTACAGGATCGGAGACAACTCCCTTTATCCCCGAGTCCACGCGCTGAAAAGGAGAATCTCAATCCCACACACCTTCCCGTATCCTGTCCTGGCTGTGGCGCACTCACCCAAGATGTCGATCCTGGACAGGCGGGTTTCTATTCATTGTCGAGAAAAGCGGTGGTGAAATACCTGAGAAGCGTCGAGGGCACGCGTCGACAGCCAAACGAAGGGCATCTGGGCAGAGATGAGGCACTGTTCCGACCCTTGCAAGGTTCACAAGATGAAGGAAGTCAGCAGAATGAACATGCGATAATTCAGCCTGAGCTCCCAATCACACCTCCTGTCTGCGATAGATGTCATTATTTGATCCACGACTCTCGTGGTGCCCCGATTGCACATCCTTCTATTGAAGCAATCGCAGACTCGATCGCGGAGTCTCCTTTCGCCAAAAACCATGTCTACCACGTCCTTGATGCTGCAGATTTTCCCATGTCCCTCATACCGTCGATCTACAAGAACTTGTCTCTAGCGAGACCTCGAACGCAGAACCGTAGGTCTCAGCATTCGTTTTCTTCCCGGCCCTCTGTATCTTTCATCATCACCAGGGCCGATCTACTAGCACCAACCAAGGAGATGGTGGACAGCATGATGCCCAAGTTTATCGCCACACTGAGGACTGCCATGGGTCGTATGGGACAAAAGCTTAGACTGGGTAATGTCCATCTAGTATCGTCTAAGCGAGGATGGTGGACGAAGGACATCAAAGAAAGCATTTGGCGCAGAGGTGGCGGTAATTGGCTCGTGGGAAAGTTCAATGTCGGGAAATCCAATCTCTTTGAGGTCCTTTTTCCCAAGGGCTCACACGACAGAGCGCCTGTGTATGCAGACATTCAACGACAGCAGGAGATCGAATCTACACATAAATCTACCGCTCCCACCTTCTTCTCTGAAAAGAAGTTGTTGCCCCCTCCTCAGCCGGAAGTTCCTTTCCCGCCCATGCCTTTGGTATCTAGTCTACCAGGCACGACAGCGTCTCCAATCCGACTTCCCTTTGGCAATCATAAGGGAGAGCTTATTGATATGCCGGGTCTGGAGCGCGGGGGTCTGGAACAATATGTCAAGTCCGAGGACAAGGCTGACCTGGTGATGACACACCGTCCCACCGTCACTCAACACATCATTAAGCCTGGCCAATCTCTGCTCTTGGGAGGGGGACTAGTCCGCATTACGCCACTCCTTGATGAAAACGACCGCAGTACTACCATGCTGGCGTATCCCTTTGTTCCGCTCAAACCCCACGTGACGTCTACGGAGAAGGCGTCGGGCACGCAAATACAAGAGCGCGAAAGCGGTGTGGAATCAATCCTTGTGGAGGGGACAGGGACTCACATATCTTCAGCCGGTCGATTCAAGTTGAGGACTGATGTCACAAAGTCCAGAGCCGGCTCCATGATTAGAGCTGGGGTCAGCCTTGAGAAGTTGCCATTCCACGTCTATGCAACCGATATCCTCATTGAAGGAATCGGCTGGGTGGAGCTGGTTTGTCAGGTCAGGAAAAGCAAACGGGCACATCAGTCTGAGCCTCCTACAGAAGATTTTACCGCATCAAGTGGTACAGAATCGGGCGTACCCACGGCTCAAGGCCTTTCGATTGGTACAACCACGTTTACTCCTTTCGGGCCAATCCAAACAAAAGACGACTCGACACAGTCTTCGGGTTTTCCCGAAGTCGAGATTTTCACGCCAGAGGGCAAATACATTGGCCAAAGAACCTGTCTAGATGTATGGCAAACGTGGAATACAGGAAAACCCAAGACAAAGAGAGCTGCACGTCCTCGGAAGCCGATGAGCGGCGCAAAGAAACGAGAGAAGATGCGCCGCAGGGCTGCCCTTGTGACTGGAACCTAAAGCAGCGAGTCCATATTCGCTAAAGAACTCTGTGAATATCTCCAACGGGTCTTCTCGCCGCCGGCGGCTGGTATTCGCCTCGCTTACTCAACCCCCGAGAGAGACACAAATGCAATCGAACCCATCCATCGATGAACCGCAATATGATATGTTATCTCCCACTGTCAACGGCGTTGCTTAGTGTCCTCGGACCAAAGATCAAAAGGAATACCCGTCTTCTGCACTTCCTTGCCTCGGCTTACCCTGTCAAGATCACAATTTTACCACGGGCGAGATTCTTCTCCATAGTATCATGTGCTTCGACGATGTCATCCAACTTGAACACTTTTCCGATCTGGACTGGCAAGGTGCCTGCCTCGATTTGCTTGAGCAAGTCGTTGAGAGGAGTCTCCTTGAACTCAGCTGGGCCACCAGAATAAACTGTCAGGCAGACAGTATGCGGAATTAGCTCCATCGGGGAGACGTCCTTCATGGTCCAGCTGTTTCCTGCGAGATGATCGTCAGCTTGATTCAACCAAACCGGAGGTTGTTCATACCAACAATGCCCGCCATGCACACAATCCCACCTGCAACCGCACACCGCAAGGAATCCTTCAGAGTGGTTGTCCCTACTAATTCCAAGACCTTGTCAAACTTCTTGTCCTTGACCTGCTCAGCGACGTTCCCATCATCGACAATGACCTGATCAACTCCACTCTTGTGCATCAGTTCAGCCGTGGCTTTCGCAGCATTCCTTGTGGTACCTGCAACAAAGCAGCCGTGGTTCTTCGCAATGGCCGCCGCCGCCAACCCAATGGATGTCGTGCCCCCGCGAATGAGCAGACGATCCGCGCTCCTCAGTTTGAGGGCTTTGAATAGACATCCGTAACTCGTCTGCAGCATTTCTGGCACGGCGCCCACGATCGTCCAGTCCAGATCTGTGTCGAGGCCTTGCGTGTTGTCCGCCTTGACGCAGGTGTACTCGGCATATCCGCCATTGAAGTCGCGACCCATGCCTCCCATTGCAGTGGCAACCTTTTGACCGATCTTAAATTTGCCTCCCGGGCACTTTTCAACAATCCCGGCCGCCTCTATCCCCAACACGCGGGGAAATTTGACGCTGGGACTGTATCCCTGGCGAGTGAAGAGTTCGGATCGGTTGAGGCCGAAGGCCTTGACCTGGATGAGCACCTCGTCCTGCTTGGGCATTGGGATTGGAAGTTGTTCGATCTTGAGAACTTCGGGCCCACCTGCCTCGTGGATCACGACGGCTTTCATTGTCGTCTCCATTGTATGAACTGTTCCCTCGGATGCTAGGGGAGGGCTCTCGAGGTGGAAGTGATGATTTCGAGTCGACAAGTAATTGTACCCGGGTTTAGCAACGTTGAGGCAGGACACCTGGGCAGCAACCTGATCTATATACTCAGCGTTCAAAGACGATACTGGCACCCTCACAGCAAAGCTGTTTTTCCCCTCCCCGTCTGCTTCTGTAGGGTGGGATCCCGAGCTCTTAAGCCTCGTGGTTTCTCCTAGGCACACCGAGGATAGCTCTCTCTCCTATGTAACCTATACCCTTTCAAAAAGCGAAATCCCCTTGGCCGGAATTGCCCGGATTGGACGCCGTACAAAGTATTATGTATGTACAGGGTAGGTTTAATTATCTGATTCATCCAACCCCCCCGATATCGAATTGGGAGTATCGAACTTGCCTGCCCCAATACCTAGGTAGGTACTATATCGTGGGACTTTGTCTCTCTGTATCTATATCTGTATCTAAATGGGCAATGGAGATGAACGATTTTCGCGCTTGAGAGAGAGGCGGGGGTCCTGGTGTGAAGAATGCACATACTCCAATCATACGTTTACGAAGAATCAAGAGTATTGCATCAACAGGTCTGTATTTCTCATGATAATTCTTCCCCGGCTCGGGTTCGGATTCAGGTTCGCTTCGGTGAAACCAATCAGCTTTCTCTGCTGATGTCTCCTCACGCTGCTGGTATGCGTAGGTGCCGTGGGCGTGTGCCTCAATGCGGATTTTGGCCATCTCCAGTTCGGAACCGCAGTGCGAGATCCTTCCGACTCCTGGTTGCGAACTCTTCTCCAGTTCTATTCAGCTAATTTCGACAGTAATCACCTTAAAAGCAGGGCCAACCAAGTCGTTGAACGACCAGAGAAAGGCAGACATATCACGCGTCGCCAAGGTCTTGTTGCCGAAGTGCAAAACAGCGAGAAAGCGAACCTTGTCGCTGTTCCATTAGGATTAGAGCGATAGAGTACTCTCTAAAGATGCATCCAACAAAGGCAGTGCCTTCGCTTTCTCTAGGCCGAGAGGGGCCTGATTGTATCCCAAACGCCAAACAGCCTGAACTCTACCCAATGCATCATAACACAAAAGGGATATATGCTTGCAATACCAAAGCCAAACAAGGTACGATTCCATCCATCATTGATGTAGCAACACCGCGGGTCAGCATGAGTGAGCAATCAGGAACCAGCCGCCACGTTCTTGTAATATCTCATCCTGTCCCGTCTGCTCTCTGTGACGAAGGGGACCTCCCTTGCTCGTCACTGTCGCCAGAGCTGTCTTCTTCTGTTTCATTGTCTTCAGCATTGAACGGTTTCCTCTTGGTGATCATTTGGCTCTGCTGCCGTCTGTGTTTTGCCTCGAGTCGTTTCAGCTTTTCATCTGCTTCACGCAGTTTTGTCTCTAGTGTCTCAAGTTCATATTGTTGGGAGAGGACTGTGTCTTGTCTGCATTTGAAGACGTCGCTGTCAGCTTCGATCGGCGAACAAAGGAAGGGGAAGAGAACAGGGATATGGCGTACTTCTGAACCACAGATTCCTCCAATGCGCCGATACCGTTGAGCTTGAAAAGATCATCGAGGGCGGCAGAGAAGTCGAGGGCGATTGTTCTGAACAGGTGTTTCTGGTTAGCATCTTGGGAGACCTCTGGAGACCATTGTCTGCCTTGATGGCTCGATGGATCCGGCTGGGGTGGTTGAAGCTTACGATTGGGGCCGCCCGTTGGGTTGCCAGCCTGCGTCGGGGTTGGTTTCGTTGGATGTGCTCATTGTACAGGAAAGTCGTATGTTCTATCGTGTGAAACGGCGGAAAGGAGGACAACGAAGGGCGAAAAAGCGAAAGATGTTGAGATATTGATGTATTTGCAAGGCGTATGGGATTCGGAGTCGTACAGGCAGCAGCAGATGAAATGAACGGATGAATCACTTGATCGAGGTCAAGTGGACGATGCCTTGAGAAACAAGCACAGCACTGAGCCTCAGGCAGACTGGTTCGTGCCGTCTGCCCAGGTGCGATGGAGAAGTAGCAGTCGTGATTGCCTGTCTGCCATCTGAGGCAGACCAAGGGCAGACCGCATCCTTTGACGAGATTGTCGCGCCCAGCATCTTAGCAAAAGGGGCAAGAAGGGGTTCACCGGTCGAGATGGTCCCAGCTTCGGTGCCAGATGGTCCCTAGAGAACCGGGCAGCACTGGGAGAGTTTAGGGCGCACGGACTACCGAGTACCTAGAGGCCTTAGGCTTTCTCACCATGATTGGGGCATGCCGATCCCCGGTCTCCAGCCTCCTTAGCCCCAGCAATTGTTTCCCGCCGCCTGAAACTTCTGGCCACTGCTGGGAACTCTGGGCTCCGAAAAGATCAAGAACGTTCGGCTAGGCTAGGACCACCAAGCACCAGTTGAATGACCTGCTTAAGTTCCGGCCTCTTATGGGGTGCGCCGTGCACTGTAGCGTCTGTCTGCACTTGGTAGCGTGTGGTCGCATCAAACAATTTTGCAAATTTCAACAAGTGAGGCCCTTCCCTAGCAGTTTTCATTTCGTGTCACCGCATTTTCCTCCCTCTCATCTCCACCACCACTCTCCTTGTGCCTCTCGCGCCCACGATCGTCCATAGACGCGTCTCTGGGGTTTTGATTCCTTCGGGCTCGTGGTTTCACTTCCCAAAAGGGGCACGCTTGGGCTCGGTCGCATCTCCAGCCAGAGCGACTTTTACATTCAATGACCGCGACGATGGGATGCCTTCATTAAAAGCCTATACGCCTTATGAGACACTCGCGTTCTGCCAGTCTGTCGCCCACCATGGTTCTGATAGCGCTGCCTTTGAGGGCATCTCGACCGCCTTGAATGCCAACCAACTGATTCGAGAGAGCGAAACATATGATGAGTCGCGCTTGACTGCCGCAGCGCTGCAAGCACTATACCATGAGCTCCTGGTTGAAGAGAAAAATGCCCAGGCTCCTCCTGCGGTGAATGGCGACAACGGATCAAATGGCACAAATCCGCGAAAGCGGAAGCTGTCCACCTCGCCAGCTCCCAGCCCAGCTCCGGCCGAAGACGACGACAGAGATGAACAGAGACTACTCCAAGCACTGGTGGACAAGCTCTATGCTCGTTTTAGGGAGAACACCATAAAAGAAATTCACCAGGAAGAGGAAGAGTATCTCAGATTGCAGGCTGAAATCGAGGAGCTGGAGAAGGCTGAAGAGGATGATAAGAAGCGACAAACCGAGACTGAAGGAGCGAACAAGGCACATGTTGAACCGTTGAACGCGACTGCAGAGGCCACCCCTAAGCCGCCAGCAGTTCAAAGCAGTACTGACGCCACAGCCGCAGCGCTGCCTACTAGTCTCGAGGCCCGGAGAACCGAGCAGATCGCGTCGAGTGCGACAAGCACTCCAGCAGCAGATGCAGAGACCTCGCCTGCGTCCATTCGCAGCAGCCTACAGCAACCTGTAGCAGCTGCTCGTTCTCCCGCGCCCACAACTCCCATCATTGCTCCAAAGGTGTCAGCAGAGCCTGCTCCGCTGAGACCGACGCAACCGCCTTCGGCACATCCTCCGCAACGGTCGCCAGGAGCGTTTCACCGTACTCTTCCGGTCCCTTCGCCTCAACGACCAAATTATGGTGCTATCAATCCACAGCATTTTCAGCCTGGTCCCCAGGGTCAACCTGTACCGGTATTACCACAGTATGCGGGAGCCCCTCACATGCCTCCTCCAGCA